AATTACAATAAATGCAAAGGCACTAAATTATCATGTTATTTCCAGGGTCATACATGTATCTTTTTCTCTCCTTGAAGATGTTTAATAGCTACATTTTAAAAGAACATCTCATGTTTAATCTCTGTCTCTTTAACCCTCCTGAAAAAGCTCAGTCTGCTCTGATTGGTTAGTTCTTCCTTTTCCTTCCTTACTAATCTGTGAATATCTTCACAATCATTGCAGCGGAGGGCTGACAGTAACACAGCAGCAGCATTTCTGCTTATATATTGTATAGTTGTGACACCAAAACCTCATATTAGTAGTCCTGAATTGAGCATTTTTATACTTTTGCAGGATTTATACAGCACGTATGAAAATCTCCCCTTTAACAACATGGGACCTTATATCATTTCACTATTGGGTTTATTAGTTGAAATAAATGTCAAACCATCTGTCTTTATCCACTTTTTCTCCTCACAGGTGACTGATTTCGCTCCGCCGGTGTGTCAGAATGTCAGCCTGCAGGCCAACTGCTCTGATTCCTGCAGCTCGTCGATGTGGGAGCTCTCTGTCCAGGTGACTGATGGGGATGGAGGGTCAGGTGTTGACCGCGTTAGTCTCAGACAGGGCAACGGGACTTTGAACACCAGCCTCGCTGCTGGAAACATAACGATGGTTTCATACGATGCTTCTTGCTGTTCGCCGGATGTGGAGCTAGTGGTTGTGGATGAAGTGGGTAATGTGGCCACCTGTTTCTACAGCATCACAAGAACCGTGGTCCTCACAGCAACCACCCAAAGCCCAAAGGTTCCGACAGCAGCCCCTGTTGTGTCTTTGTCCTCCAGAGCGGTGCCCTCTTTCCTGCTCTGCATTTGCATCACCATCCTGGGGCTTAATTTGCCATTTTAAATGGGGATCAACTGATCATTAACTTGTTTCGAGGGGGCAGGGTCTAAAAAAAAATCTTCTGGCTTCGAAAAATCAACTATAAACTTGGGTGATGTGCTATAAAACTATCCTTTATGAAAATTAAACTACATAATGCATGTGCTGTATATATTATAGGATCTTGGTGTCAAAAACCTTCTTTAAAAGCTTAATGGGGTTGGGAATGATTCAGCCATATGAACATGTAAATGTTATTATTTTACCTAAATCAAGGATCATTTGTTTATAATGTGAGTACTACTGCTGATATTGAGATTTAGTATGGTATTGTTGATTTAATGATTGCTTTTATTTGATTAATAACATTAGTTATATATATATTATATAAGTAAAGTGTTGCTTCTTTAAACAGCTGATTAAAAAATATCAAGGATGATACAATAAAACAAAAAAAGTGATGTTGACCACTGTGATCATTTTGGGAGAAATATTATAGCAGAAAAAGTCAGAGGAAAGAAATGTGATCTGGTACTGTCATGACAAAAACGGGAAAGGATACAGTGTAAACAAGAGTAAATCAAAGTTGATTGATTGATTGAATTGATTGAAAAGTTTATTAACAGCGTGTATATTGGGTACAGTACAGTACAGCTCAAAACATACAATTGTTAAGGGGATGCAGACCAGAGAAAGACTTTCGTCTTGTTTACATCAGGGTCCCCCATTTCCAACTCATCATATCATTTAAGACATATAAGACATATAAGACATACAGATGGCTTATTTACAATTTACATACAGGTGTTTTTTTACATACAGATTGCTTATTTACAATTTTAATTTTAGATTTCGTTCAAATACATCCTAACCGGACATTTAAGACATACCAAGTCTACAGATATACAGTTAGTAACAGAGTCTAAAATGCGAGTATATACATAGATGGGGGGGGGAAGCTGTCCATTGAACGACAGGTTGAGATTTGTACCATTACCGGGGCCAGTTTTGCAATGCTCTCCCCCGAAGGTGCTCTTCAAGAGAGGTTTTGAAGGTAAGTATAGTTTTACTTTCCTTTACAGTTGTGGGAAGAGCGTTCCACCTTGATGTGGCATAATTGCGAAACGTGTATTCCCCCTTTTTTGTGCCAAATCTGGGTTTCACATGATTTGTGGAGCTCCCTCTGGTGTTATGATCATGGTATTCCTTGACCTTTGGGAAGAATTTTGACATGTACATGGGTACCATAGAGGTGTAGTGGATCTTGTAGACCAGGCCCATTGCAAGTAGCTGTACTCTGTCATCTACTCTAAGCCATCCTAGTTTGTCAAAGTGGGCAGAGGTGAGGTGGGTTCTAGATGAAAGGTCAAGCAGTAGTCTGACCAGTTTATTTTGCGATGTTTGAAGTTTTATTTTTAGCGCCTTGGAAGTGCTATGGTACCATGACGTGCAAGCATAGTCATAGTACCCTTGAATGAGTGCTCCTGCCAGAGTTTTCAGGGTGTTTTTGTTTACCAGAGAGGAGATCCGGTATAGGAATCTAGTTCTTTGATTGACTTTTTTTATTACATTGGATGCCATTTTGTCACAGGAGAGGTTTGCCTCAAGAATAGATCCTAGGTATGTAATTTCCTTCTTACTTGTGACAATAATGTCACCCACTGCAACTGAGAAGTCGTCGGATTTGCTGAGATTATGTTTCGAACCGAAGAGAATGGACTCTGTTTTACCCAGGTGTAATGATAATTTATTATCGGCGAGCCAGGTGCAGATTCTGCCGAGCTCGGAGCTGAGGGTTTTTTCAACCTGCAACCTGTTCCTGTCAGAGACCAGCAGGGCTGAGTCGTCCGCGAACAGGAACAAGTTGCAGTCACATGCTGATGACATGTCATTTACATAAATTAGGAACAGTAACGGACCTAATATGCTTCCTTGTGGAACACCACAGCTCACTGGGAGGGGGGGGGACAGAGTACCGTTTACCTCCACCATCTGTTCTCTCCCCTCCAGGTAGGATTGCATCCAGCTCACCGATAGTTTATCAAAACCAATTGCTTTTAGCTTGTCAATCAGAATGGGGTGATTGACAGTGTCGAAAGCCTTTTGTAGGTCCAGCATCACCATGCCGCAGTACTTGCCCTCGTCCACCTCTTGTTTGATGTGGTCGCTCAAATAAAGAAGGCATGTGTCAGTGGAGTGGGATGTTCTAAAGCCAGATTGAAATTCATAGATTAGTTTCTTTTCCGCGAGGTACTTTTCGACCTGTTCATATACTATTTTTTCCATGACTTTCGAGATGGAGGTAAGTATAGAGACAGGGCGGTAGTTGCCTGGGTCCAATTTGCTGCCCTTTTTGTGCAGGGGGGTTACTCTTGCAATTTTGAAGTCTTTGGGTACTTTTCCCTGTTTTATGGAGAGGTTAATTATGTGAGCTATGACTGGTGAGATGGCGGTTGCTGTGTCTCTGAGGAATTTGGAGGGGATATTGTCGTGGCCAGTGGCCTTGTTAGGTTGGAGGGCGCTCAGTTTAATGAGTAAAGTATTTATAACAATAAATAAAGCAAACTAATACTAAAGATAAAGCTACCATAAGAAGTGTGTGTGAGTCAGTAACATCAGTTGCGTAGCTGTGAATGTGTGAGGATAATATAGTGTGAGGTGTTGGATGCAAAACTCAAATGCAATACCAAATGAAAGTTAAAACCGGTAGCTGCTCTCAGGAAGGGGAAAAGAGAGAGAGGCTCTGGAACAGGGCTCTTAATCAGGCACACTCACAATCTGTTACCTTCAGGGACAAAAAGGAAAACATGTAACAACCAAAAGACCTAAGGGGCTGGTCAGGTCAGTCACAGTGTAGTTCTGCATGTATTAACTACCTGTGGGTCCAGCATCAATCTTAAGAATGCAGCATCTTTTGATTATTTACATTACATAGTACATACATTTAATATCATCAATGGTGAATGTAAAAAATCTAAAACACACGTCGTAAACTGCAGCAGGGAATAAACATAGAAGTATGAAATCATTCACTAGAGCTCCCTCCAGTGGAGGAACACTTCAAATAAGGAATGTGTTTAAACTCAGCGTACCATGGCCCTAAACTTATTTAACTTCTGCTAGTGATAGGGAAGGGACAACAACAAAAAAGCCTCCTCACTGCACGTTTGGTTTAAGTTATAGATAACATTAAAACCTGAGGAAGAATATGATTTTGATGAGTCATGAAGCGTGTTCGCCTGCCTTTCCCTGCCAACTTTGGACAGAATAAAAGTGAAAGAATGTTGGAAGAGAATAGATCAAGAGGAAGTTAATGTACTGAGAAATATTTGATTGTTTGCCCCACCCAAGTCATCCAAACCATCCAGCTTTGTGGTATTTGTAGATAACATCAAACATCACTAAAATGTTGGTGCTGAAACCGAAGTTAAGAAACTTGATTTGTAAGAGAGTTTCGAGCTGTAAATAAATGTATAAACTGTTTATCACACATATCTGATGCTGTCAGTCTTGCAGCGTATTCTCACTCTTATAATGAGAGTATAAACGAGTGCTCTTTTGTTTGCCTATTTCAACAGAAACCTTTAAGGAACTCCCAAATGTACATAAGTACAGCTCCCGCCTGCAGTGTTTATCTTGATGAGGGTGCGTGATCGTTTTAGATTGTTTTATGATAAGAAGAGTGCAGGTTGTCTTCCAAAGAAACCTGAAAAAACACATTTAAAGACTTGTTTTGGTCAATGCAACAAAACATGCTTTATATGTTTGTTTATAGTAGTTTTTAACATTACAGTAAATGAGACCATTTAAAAAATATATATATTAATGTGATGAATGAAGGAAAGAACTCATCACTGTGTCAGGGAACTATTGTGTGTCTTCATTTCAAATGAATTCCAGTTACCATGTTCTGCCAGGTATTGACTTGTAAAGGTTGTATAAAGTTCATTAGAAATTCAATCTTTAATTACTGTTGATGATTCTGCAAAGATAACTGGAAATAAAAAAGTCATATCATATCAAAAACGACCTTTGTCATAAGATAAAAAAACCTAAACCTTAAAATGAAAGAGTTCCAAAAGTATTGTTATCACACCTATTCACCCGTACTGCATGACTCCACCTTTTCAGTGCAGCACCAAGGGACTGACATAACACCTTCAAGTTTACAGGACAGCATCAAGACCAGGTAAGAACTCTTTTAACTAATTCAATCAATTCATAATTCAAAAAAACTTAGACATTAAACTTTTTCCTACAATATGCTAGTACATATTACAATGTATGTATTCTTGTAAAAGCACAATGCATTGTAACACAAGAACACAATCTGATAACGTTGTACAGCCAGCATGCAGTGCTCCGAAGCTGCTTTGTCATCTTTTCTACTAACATGCATGGGAAGTTATGGAACAAGGGCGTAACAACTCTGGATCAAACAAAAAAACATTTAAGGTTGTTATTTACTTAGTCTGCGACCTACTGAGTAATCCTTTGCACTTTTGGGAGGAATTTAAAATGTATGCTGTGGCCTTGTCCTTTTTAAACTACTGTGGTGGATACATATTCTATTACTAAGGTACATCTTAATCATACAAAACAAATTAATGAATCTGATGTAGATTTATGCCAAAATGACCTTAATATTTACAAGCAGGCAAATTAGCCTATACATTTTTCATTTATAATGTTGGGGGTAATTCAAAAATACAACGAGTTACATCTGATTGTTTACTTTGGACATTTAGGAACCATCAATAAATGATGGTGTGAATGAAACAGCACCAATGTTATTCCACCTCTGTGCTGCTGACCTTCCCATTTAAGTGATAATTATGTTTAAGAAATTATAAGAAATGATCCTCATGGTGTAAAACTTTTCCCCCAAAAAGCATTTATAGAGGATTTTTTCAGGGTTTTATCAGAGTAGTAATACAGTGCTGCATTCATGTGAAGCCTTGGTCACATGAAATGGAATCCATTAGAATAATTTAGACGATGAAGCAACCGTTAAATGCCCATCCATCCATCTTCTCCCGCTTATCCGTGGTCGGGTCGCGGGGGTAGAGTTTAATCTCCATTAAATCTCCGTTAAATGTTCATAACAATAATAAAACAGAAAATCATTTAAAAAGAGGTGTGTCCTATATTTGGTGTAGTCTAATTATGTTCTCATTCAGAATCACCGTGTCGCAGGGTAAAACATCCAAGTGTCCTTTATAATTGAACCGTTTTAAGTTTGAGGTTGAAGTAATGTGAGGTGCAGGGGGTAAAATGGGGAGAGGGTTTTCATTTTATGTTAAGCCTTGAACAAAAACATTATTTTACAGAAAGATAAAACTGCCACTTCACAACAGGCCGGGTGCTGCTCTTTCACCTATCTTTCCAGTCACCTTTATAGCAGATAGCCCGCCTTCACAAATCAATCTGGCCAATCAGGTCATGACTCTGGAGAGAGAGTGAACAGTTAAACAGAGAAATAAACATTGTTTCTACTAACAACATATTGTACCTTCAAAAACAAACAATATCTGCACACAACTGATCGTTTTTAAGGTAATTGGCCAACATTACATTACTTGACCAACGCCCTTTGAGCACTGCTCCCAGGACTGAATGCAGGAAATGGTGATTCATATCATGATTGTGTGTCTTTAAGACATATTTTTAAGAAGTATAATTCATTTAAATGCATAGTATTTTCATTTACCTATGTTAATTGATATAAGAAACCTTAAATGAAATAAAGAACATAGTGAAGAAAAATGCCTACTTTTCTTTACAAACATAGGGCTTAGCCAAATGTTAGTAAGGGGGTGTGTGCCCTCACAGAGGTGCTGATAGTATAGTGTACTAATCAATGCTGACAATTGATGTCAAGTAAATCAGCAATCCATGTAAACATAACACTCTCAGTTTAAAAATAAATAAAAACATTTACATTCATTTGACTGGTGACTTTAGGAATTGTGGAAAGCTGATTTGGATCAATTAAAGAAGAAAAAAAGGACTGTTACAGTCTCACAGGGGAAACGACTGAGGAAGGTTGAGTTAAATAGATGCGTTTATTTTGTCCTCAGGCTCTTTGATAGGTTAAGGAGGCATGTCTCCATGGTTGGCTGCGTTTGGTCTCCTGCTCCTGATACCTGGGGCTCTGGGGTTTGCCATATTGCCAGGAGAGTCTCTGAATCACCTGGAAATCACTGAGAGAGCCATCTTAAATGCCACCGTGCAGGCGTGCCGTGAGCTGGCCAAAGCTGAGGGGGCGGACTTCACGTTTCCTGTAAGAATACCCTCTGCTGAAGTTGGTTTTCTAGAAATTATTAGTTATATTATGTAATTTATTTTAATAATTGTTGACACTGTGTTTAGACACCGCCTTTCACTGCAATGACTGTTGCTGAAGCCTGCGGAACACCAAAGTCCTCCAAGAGTTTCCGCCAAGCCATTACATTCATCATACTGAGGAATATACGGGTGGACATCCGTCATGCCTTAAATGCCAGCTTCCACTTTGATGAGGAAATGTTTTATCAAGGAAGGAAAATTATCACTGAGGGAATAAGGGTCATCAAAGCAAACAACAAGCAAGACAACTTTGAGGCAGCAAGGCAGAAATTGGGAAAGATTTTACATCCTTTACAGGTATTTATCATCACTTTAAAAACAGTACAAATTCACTTTTAAAAGAAGAGGCAATGTTAGAAACCCTGATCCCCTTCTGCCATCTTGAAGGACTTCTACAGTCACAGTAACTGGGTGGAACTGGGCAACATATATCCAAACCCTAATCTGATCAGATCTGACACCAGCATTGGAAACATAGCAGGTAAAGAGATGGTATGAGCGGTTTATCTGTGCAGCACTGACAAAGAATGCAGCTTGGGTGTGATTATTGTGAAGTTATTTAGCATGAAAAAACGTTATCAAAAAAATCTTTCTTGATGAACTTTTCCTCAGAGGAAAGCAGGGCAACATGCCGAAACTGTGACGGAGACTACTGCAGGAACAACATCTTGGAGGACATCATAGAGGAGGGGATACTGACCTCTGGATATTTTGGTTTAGTGCCTATCGTGTCAACCAAACCAAAAGGTGATTCATTTCAATCAACATTATACCCTCAGAATTATTACTAGTTTATTACATTTAAGAAGTTGTATCGCCTTCCCAAAGTTTCCACCTCAATGTAAGATTTATTTTTGATGGTGAGTAGTTGACTCTTCAACAAATGTTATGTCAACAACATTTCAAAGACTTAGTTAAATGTCTTAGTATCAGGAGAGCAGTTCAGTAATACAAATGTGGATACACATTTCTTAACCTAAAACACATTTCGCATCATATTTTAGTAATGCTTGTGCATCGTGCAGCACTGCATTTATTCCTTTATTGATGTTCAAAAGGAAAATGCAGTCATGGAGGACCAGTTGATCAAACAAGCAACACCGAACCTAAAGGTGGGATCAACAAAGACACATTAGACTCCAGCCATGGACACCTCCACATGACAGCAGCAAATATGGCTATAGCTGCCACCAGTGAGCTACTGGAGGACATTCGGGGGGCTGCTGGGATCAGAACCTTCCTCCAGTAAGAACCCCATTCTGCATGTTGCAGTTAGTGTAAAACTGCAAATGGGATCGTTTCTTATCTCTTTGTTTCTTCATCACTCAGAATGATGGGAATCTCCAAAGGATCCAGTAAAGCTCTTTGTTTCGTGATCGACACGACAAAAAGCATGAGCGATGACATTGATGCAGTGCAGGCCGTCACTTCCTCTATAATCGACAGTGGAGAAGGAACAGAAGACGCGCCCTCACTCTACATTCTTGTCCCTTTCAACGATCCAGGTAAAATCACAGTATGCTTCACATTGTGTTGATGTAAAAAACAAGCATCATTGAGGAGTTTTCCTTCTCCTGTCTCCACATGAACTCCAGATGTTGGGCCGCTCGTAAAGACTACAGACCCAAATGTCTTCAAGAGCGCTATTAATTCCCTATCAGCAACCGGAGGAGGAGATGTTGAGGAACTGAGTCTTTCAGGGCTTCAGGTGCTGAGATGTGACCTAAATAAATAACTTTGCATGTTGTGTTACCAGTTTTTTTTTAGCAAAAACAATCCATGTTATTCAATACTGTCTTCCTCATACAGCTGGCTTTAACAAGCGCTCCTTCAAATTCTGAGATCTTCCTCTTCACCGATGCACCTGCTAAAGACAAGCAGCTGAAAAGCACAGTGATCGCACTCATAGAGCGCACACAAACAGTGGTGAGTGTTAACTCATTTTTGGTCATTAAAGAATTGCGATCTTGTGAAAATGTCCTTACATATTTCTTGAATGATTTTTTGTCTTGTGTTAACGATGATTATCTAAATACAGTATACAACGCTTGGAGGTGTGCACTGGTGGCAATAGTGGCAATAGCACTATATCAATGACACATTGTAGAGCTGCAACAATTAGTTGATCAACAGAGAACTCGTGCAATAGTTGTGATTCTGATCATTTATCAATTGTTTTCAGTATTTTAAGAGAAAGTTATCTGGTCCCAGCTTTGCAGATCTAAGTATTTGCTGGTTTCCCTGTTAAGATTGCAAACTGAAAATTTGTAATAGGCTCTGGTCCGGGAAGAAATGGACAATCACTGTAATGGCATCTTATAGACTCATCAATGATAGGTCAATCGGCAGATATTCATTATGTTGTAGTCCTTTTTCTTCAGATGAATGGCTGCTTTTGGACATTCTGATTTGTTTTACTTCCCCTGATTTGTTTCCTATCAGGTGAACTTCATGATTTCGGGCTCAACAGTGCTGAACCGTAGGACACATAGTGGCGGGGAACTGAACAGGATCTCGGAGTCAGAGGCTGAGCTGTACAGAGACCTCGCTCAGGCTTCAGGAGGTCTGGCTATAGAAGTCACAAAGAGTGAGCTCCCTGTGGCTACCAGCATCATCACACAGTCCTCCAGCTCCTCTCTGGTAATCTCAAAAAGATCTTCTAAAGGTCACCTACTATGCAAAATCCACTTCTTCGTGTATTTGATACATACACATGTGTCCCCTCTGTGCAAAGACATTCTGAACGTTTCAGGAAAAATAAAAAATAAACACGATTTTTTTTTACCATTAGCCAATCACCAACCAAGGTAACCCCCCCACACCTTATCACCTGAATCTTCTTCTAGAGCACCATTGTGTTATTTTTAACCAAATATGTCGCAGAGGGGCGTGGGGAGTGGCTCCTTATTTTCATCTAAAGTAACAGACAGAGAATCAGCCCTTTTGAAACAGGGCTGAAACAGAGGGGATTATGGGATGCTACAATGATCTGTTTGGTGTTTGGAGCCAAACACTTCAGAGACATGTTTTGTATATATCTGAGACCTATAATATATTGATGAAAAACAGTATAATAGGGGACCTTTAAGTGTTGTTCACTTCAGAGACTTCCCGATGTGTCATCTTGAATGTTTATTTCTCAGGTGACCCTACTGCAGGCAGCCAGGAACCCAGGCAGCAGCGATACGTTCTCCTTTATGGTTGATGGAACAATAATGAACCCTTTAGTTTACATTACTGGACGCTCCATCAATTTCACTCTCACCAGCCCCACAGGTAATAACTGGCACACTCTTTATGATAACACTCAACACATTATGTGCATCATTTCATCATCAGTAAGTCATAGTGCATTTGAAGTCATTGCGATGTAATTTCAGAACAACCACAGACTCTACCATCCGCTATCCAGTTTAACAAAACCTGCTGGTTTAGATGTATTTTAATTAATTGCTTTATGTACTTTTTTACATTAAAAAGTCATATTATAGTATGACCTGAGGAGATCATGCAAACATGTTGTAAAGTAGCTTAATCCACCATGTGTTTGCAGTCAAAATCCAAATGATGTACAAAAAAAGAGAAATTGGTCTTTGCAAAAATGTTGCAATAAAAGCAACACAAATTGAAAATGATTGTTTCCTTCCTGCTTGTTGGCGTTTTTTCTTTGAAGGTGAATCTGAGCAAAGCACAAACTCAAAAGGATCATTGATCATTAAATCCCAGTCAGTCGGAAACTTCCAGACTCTGCAGCTTGATAAACAAGTCGGACTGTGGACAATGAATATGGTGTCGACTAATCCGTACACTCTGAAGGTCATAGGTGAGACTTCCAGCTATATTTAATGTGTTAACTAAACACATTACCTTAAGCCTCAGCTCTATTTTTTAAGTGCTATTCAATTAGTACCTTAATTTAAAGGACAAACATGTTATCATTGTCAATGTGAGCATGTTAGCATGCGAGGTTAGCATTTAGATCTGCCTAAGACAGAACAGCTGGCATCACTTTAGACTCTCATAAAGCCAAAGCATAATAATTGGGTTTCCCATCCATATTCTAATTTCCGGTTTATATTTGAACCCCTTGGCAAATGAACAAAGATTAAAGGCAGAATATTAAAATATAGCTCAACACAAAGCTTTGAGTTCATACATGAGGACAAAATCATCCTAAATGTTATCTGTCAATTATTGGTACATTTAAGATGGTTTTGTGGTAGTGGTAATCCATATAATTTGGAAAACAGATTGAAAAGTATCATGCTTTTGCTTTGTCTAAAGGGGTTTTTAAAAGAAACTCTGTATATGTACACTAATCCTTTTTTCTCACAACTTTTGATTTGCAGGTCAGAGTCCTTTTGACTTCCTGTTTGACTTTGTGGAGGCCTCTCAGGGCCCGTTCCCAGGATATGATGCTCTTGACACTCGTCCCAGAGCGGGTAAAGGAAACTGTTAGGATGTTACTTTGAAGATGTGCAGATATAAAATAACATTGTCAATTCAAACATGTTACATTTCATTTTTGTTTTAAAAAAGGTGTCAACGGTAGCTTGTTGGTGTCTTTAACGGGGAGTGACTCTGCCACTGTGACAGAAGTTGCTCTGGTTGAATCGTCGGGGTCGGGGGAGATTAAAGGAGTCGTGGAGTCGCAGGGGAGCGGGAACTTCTTAGTTCTCGTCGACAGGATCCCATCAGAGGAGTTTGTGGTGCGGGTTAAAGGGAATAATGGACCAACAGTCTTCACAAGGCAGTCATCAACCAACTTCAGAGCTTCTAATCTGACGATCACTGTGAGTACCCATCCCAGACCAACACTGTCACACAAACACCACACATGAGAGGAGGTGGAACTAAACATGTAAACAGGGTTGGGAGGGTTACTCTAAAATTGTAAACCGTTACAATAACTAGTTACATGTCAACATGTTTTACGAGTAACCTAATCTAAGTTGCATAATATAAAAGTAATGTAACCTGTTACTTTTGGATTACCTTAATATGAAATGCAAAGCAAATCAAAACAAAAGTAAACAAATATCAGTCAGATTTTGTGTATGTATTATGTAGTGTATAATGTAAGACAACAGATCAATGTGTCATCTTAAATTAAGGCAAGGCAATCCGTGTATCTACCGTCCAATTGTTTTTCTTTATTAAACAAGTACACGGAAGAGCGTCTGAGAGGCGTTTTTGCTTTTTGCTTTTTACCTTACTAAATGGTCTAATCATAGATATATATATCTATGGGTCTAATGGTCATTGGAGCGAGGGGCGGGGCGAAACTCACGGAAGTGATTTCAAAACAAAAGCACTGCTTGGAACGGTGATAATATTATAAACAAGGTGAATTTAGCGATCACAACGAAAACGGCCAAGACACATATTGAGCCCAGAAAATGAATGATATTAAGGGCTGTATTTATAATAGGCCTAAGTCTAAAATGGACAACATTGTTAGGAGATTTAAACTACAGCGATTCTGCACTGCGGTCACCTCAGCCGTCTCTCGAGTTTGTTTTTTCAATTCAGATGCTCTTCATTTTTTGTCCTGCTATATTTGATGATCGATAGCGATACAAGTATTTGTTATCATAAGTTCTTAATAAAACCGACACTGTTGGACTCGGTACTAGTTTGACTGCTACCAGAAATAAAATGAAGTAGGCCTACTTTTACGGTGTGCTTAGTGAATAATCCTCTGCCAGATTCCCCTCCATAGTAGGCTACATAATCATAGTACAGAATGCATGTTTTATGCTATCTTTGATGAATGATAAAAAGACAATTTTACCATTAGTTCTTAATGATATTGATACTGCTTGACTCAGTAGTCTTACACCTACTACCACAAGTTAATACAATAAAGTACTTCTAGTGTGTTGTTTTAAAAAAAAATCCTCTGTCAATGTCCCCTCCTGAGAACAAAATCAAGCCACTTCTGTTAAGTTTGATGAGGGGGGAAATGATTGTTTTTGCCATTAGTTTTTTGTGAGTTTGACACTGTTGGACTCAGTACTAGTGAAACTACTCCCACAAGTACTATGAAGTACTTTTACTGTGTACTTTTCATGTAATCCTCTGTCAATGTCCCCTCCTGAGTACAAGAATGCATGTTTTTCTGATATTTTTAATAAGCATTAAAAAGCCTTTCTTCCTGAGACTGACAGTATTGGACACCCCACCATGTCAATACGTTTATCTTTTTGTAGTGTATTGGTCTTTTGTAGAGGTTTTTCATTGCCAGCTAAAATGTTGCCTATGGGGCAGCAAATTGGTCAGAGCCAGCCCTGGTGTCATCCCCACAGCACCCCCCATTTGAAACATGTTCCCACGGCTATGGATGCCTAAGTCCATGAGTGGGAAATATAATCTACGTATTAGTCCAGTATTGGATCTTCTAAAGTTTCACCATCCCGGAATAAAACAATAAATCTATGTAGGTTATTGGGTTATTTTTCAATATTTAGCAGATGGGACAAAAAAGGGAGGTGTAGCTCAACAGGAACCTTTGATCTTGTGTTGGGTAACATTGACTCTGTAAACACGACTCTTAAAGTATGTGGGTCACACTGCAGCTTTTCTAAGTAAAATACTTTGATAAATGGTAGTTTTAAACACTTTTGCCTTTTTACTTCTGATGCCAACTGATGTGATTCCCATGGTCCCCTGAAGTGGCTGAATTACTTTAAATATAGTGTATAAATTCAGGTTTACAATACACGTCCTATTCTTCATAAAGCAGGAGGCTAGGACACCCACAGCCAATTACTAAGAACATCTATGTAGGTCTTTTTAGGTTTTAAACAATAATATGATATTATGAGGATTTGACTTCTAATGGATTATTTTTACTTTACTTCATGCACTGGTTAATACTGCTTGTTTTTAGCTTCTGTTGCGCTAATGGATAAAAGAAGCTGTTTCTACAATGATGTGGAGGGAGAGTCCTCTCCAGTCAGACTGAGAGGCTGATAACTACAGCTCAGTGAGGTAAAGGACTTAGATAGTTCATTTTAGTCTAAGTTATCTCAGTGGGTCTCAAACGTTTTGATCAGAATTTATGTAAACAAATATTTCCAAGACACTCCTTTTTAATTATTGGGATAAAACAGGTTTGAAATCATTTCAATGTATACTATAGGACAGTAAACCAGACATATCGTTTAAAACTGGAGAGATTAAAAAAGATGCATAAATAAATAAATGTTAACTGGTAAAATAAGATATGAATCAACAACATAAATAAAATAAGTTACATTTATTTGTTATTGGCTATGGTAGGTTATTGGTTATGTTCACATACTTATTTGATTATTAAAATATAAACCGATCTTTTCCATATGGGTGTTTAGAGTTGTACCCCCTAGATCAGGGGCCTCATTTATAACGCCGTGCGTAGGATTCACGTGGGAAGGTTGCTTACGTAGTAGAAATCCAAAAAATAGGTACAGAAATGTTCCGACATTTTCCGATTCACCAAACATTGCGTACCGGCGAGGAAAGTGCGTACAGCACTTCCTACGCCGGTTTCCCTTTATAAATCACAACCGACTCGAAATGCGGTGCAGCTTTTGCGGGCTTCACGTAACGCCCATATTTGCCTATAAATAGTCAAAGAAACGCCCATTCATTCATTCATTTTGACTGACTTTATGAAGAAGATCGCAGGAAATGACGACAGAACAGCTAAAAAAGACATCTCACACCGTGTCAGATTTTGGTTATTTTGGGGAGGTCGAGATAAATCACATTGTTTGGTGGATGCAGTTTGAACCAGAGTAGCAGCATGGAGGTCGGATCATCACCAAAATAAATAAATAAGTGGTCCGAAAAAGGTTATACAAAAATAATACACATAGCCTTCCTCAGGCAGTGTGTTTGTACCGGGGACAGGAGACACCCCCTTGATGAGAAACTGTAAGAAATGATCGGGGAATCCCTCCGGAGTGGAGTCATGACGACTGGATCTGAATTATGTTTTTGTATTTGGTGGTTTGTGTCCCAGCTGTCGATCAGCTGTGCGCAGCGTCTCCACTGCAGCCTGTGCATCTGAACCCTCCCCGCAGCAACTCTATATCCACCAGTTAAAGGAAATACAACCATAGGTGTTCTTAGTTTCCATACCTCCTGTGTTTTACGAGCGACTTATCAAGTCTTGGCAAACGGCATAAAACACGATTAAACATGATAGTATATAAAACCATGCTCGTATCTACAACCTATAGAAATGCAAAACGGCGTCAGTTTAGACGTAATTCTGTCCTCCTGCTTACCGCATCATTTATGAGAAAACATTTCATAACGTTAACAAAACATATTCGAGGTGGTTTTAAATAACATATCCGTATTTATTTATTTCTCCAAGTTATGTTTTTGTGTGTTTGATTGATTGATTGATTGATTGAAAAGTTTATTAACAGCTTGTATATTGGGTACAGTACAGTACAGCTCAAAACATACAATTGTTAAGGGGATGCAGACCAGAGAAAGACTTTCGTCTTGTTTACATCAGGGTCCCCCATTTCCAATTCATCATATCATTTAAGACATATAAGACATATTTGACATACAGATGGCTTATTTACAATTTACATACAGGTGGTTTTTTTACATACAGATTGCTTATTTACAATTTTAATTTTAGATTTCGTTCTAATACATCCTAACCGGACATTTAAGACATACCAAGTCTACAGATATACAGTTAGTAACAGAGTCTAAAATGCGAGTATATACATAGATGGGGGGGGGGGGAAGCTGTCCATTGTACGACAGGTTGAGATTTGTACCATTACCGGGGCCAGTTTTACAATGCTCTCCCCCGAAGGTGCTCTTCAAGAGAGGTTTTGAAGGTAAGTATAGTTTTACTTTCCTTTACAGTTGTGGGAAGAGCGTTCCACCTTGATGTGGCATAATTGCGAAACGTGTATTCCCCCTTTTTTGTGCCAAATCTGGGTTTCACATGATTTGTGGAGCTCCCTCTGGTGTTATGATCATGGTATTCCTTGACCTTTGGGAAGAATTTTGACATGTACATGGGTACCATAGAGGTGTAGTGGATCTTGTAGACCAGGCCCATTGCAAGTAGCTGTACTCTGTCGTCTACTCTAAGCCATCCTAGGTTGTCAAAGTGGGCAGAGGTGAGGTGGGTTCTAGATGAAAGGTCAAGCAGTAGTCTGACCAGTTTATTTTGCGATGTTTGAAGTTTTATTTTTAGCGCCTTGGAGGTGCTATGGTACCATGACGTGCAAGCATAGTCATAGTACCCTTGAATGAGTGCTCCTGCCAGAGTTTTCAGGGTGTTTTTGTTACCAGAGAGGAGATCCGGTATAGGAATCTAGTTCTTTGATTGACTTTTTTTATTACATTGGATGCCATTTTGTCACAGGAGAGGTTTGCCTCAAGAATAGATCCTAGGTATGTAATTTCCTTCTTACTTGTGACAATAATGTCGCCCACTGCAACTGAGAAGTCGTCGGATTTGCTGAGGTTATGTTTCGAACCGAAGAGAATGGACTCTGTTTTACCCAGGTGTAATGATAATTTATTATCGGCGAGCCAGGTGCAGATTCTGCCGAGCTCGGAGCTGAGGGTTTTTTCAACCTGCAATCTGCTCCTGTCAGAGACCAGCAGGGCTGAGTCGTCCGCGAACAGGAACAAGTTGCAGTCACATGCTGATGACATGTCATTTACATAAATTAGGAACAGTAACGGACCTAATATGCTTCCTTGTGGAACACCACAGCTCACTGGGAGGGGGGGGGGACAGAGTACCGTTTACCTCCACCATCTGTTCTCTCCCCTCCAGGTAGGATTGCATCCAGCTCACCGATAGTTTATCAAAACCAATTGCTTTTAGCTTGTCAATCAGAATGGGGTGATTGACAGTGTCGAAAGCCTTTTGTAGGTCCAGCATCACCATGCCGCAGTATTTGCCCTCGTCCACCTCTTGTTTGATGTGGTCGCTCAAATAAAGAAGGCATGTGTCAGTGGAGTGGGATGTTCTAAAACCAGATTGAAATTCATAGATTAGTTTCTTTTCCGCGAGGTACTTTTCGACCTGTTCATATACTATTTTTTCCATGACTTTCGAGATGGAGGTAAGTATAGAAACAGGGCGGTAGTTGCCTGGGTCCAATTTGCTGCCCTTTTTGTGCAGGGGGGTTACTCTTGCAATTTTGAAGTCTTTGGGTACTTTTCCCTGTTTTATGGAGAGGTTAATTATGTGAGCTATGACTGGTGAGATGGCGGTTGCTGAGTCTCTGAGGAATTTGGAGGGGATATTGTCGTAGCCAGTGGCCTTGTTAGGTTGGAGGGCGCTCAGTTTAATGAGTACCTCTGCTGTTGTTACCCTTGCTAGACTGAAATCATCTTTGCGTACCCCTAGGTTTTTGTAGTAGGTCATGATGTGATCTACTCCAAAAAGCCCTGAGTGGGAGGGTAATTTATTTACAAGAGTTGTGGCTATGTTTGTGAAAAAAATGTTCAAGTACTTGGCCACATCCAGTTTGTCTGTGATGAGCCTGTTATCTGTCTTTATGTTTAAGTTAGAAAATCTCGTTTTGAGTTTTTTACTGCAGCCAAGCTGGTTATTGAGTAATTTCCTAAGTTCACAGGTGTAGAGGAAACTTCTGTGTAGCTATGCAGTGGGAGTCACCGACTCAGGAAGGAGACACGGTAGGAGCAGTAGCTTTGATGTCAAACACTGATGGTTTATTTGGAGTTAACGGCCGGAGGATTCACATCACAAGTCCAAGAGCCAGAGGTTCTGACTTCACGGTAGAGTTGCCACGTCAATTCTGGAGAGCCTCTCTCTTGCCAGCCCATTTAACTGGTTCCACAGAGAGTCATCAACATGTTTTGATAAGATAGCTTTAGATAGTTTGGGCACACTAAGTTACCAGCTTCCGCCACTTATGGCCTTGCATATGTCATGCCTTGGAGTCCTCAGACAACAGAGAAGGAAGTGTCCCAGTGTACCCACAATACAGACCATCTGTGACCCAGTATTGACCGGTCACAGAATGGGAACAATAACATTATTGGCTGAAACAGCCTGTGTCCTTAAAGGAGGTAAACAGACATCAAGGTTTGTCCTGTATGTCACATCTTGGAGTCTATGATAATTATTTCCATAACAACAGGGTTTATTTTTGTTTTCCTCAGTTTTGACATTGATGAAATTCTTTTTGGCAGTTTTGATCATGGAGCTTACGTCATTTCTTAGTCTGTTTCTTTCAATTTTTAGTTCAGTCACGTGGGCCTGGAGTTCACTGCTCGTGCTTTTGGAAAGCATTGACTGACTTTTATGAAACTCAGAGCATTTTTTGTCTCTGGTTTTCATGGCGGTCAGTATGCCGGAGTGCATCCACGGCTCAGCGCGATTTTTTACCCTGGTTGTTCTTAGGGGGGGCAAATCATTGAGTATTGCAGAGAATTTGTTTTTGAAACCAAGCCATGTTTCTTCAACTTGTGTACCACTGAGCTCATCTGACCAGTCCAGGCTCTCCAGTTCTAGGTTAAAGGCCTCGCTAGAGTAGTTTTTGAAGTCTCTAGATATGACTGTTTTGTGACAGCCGGCCCTTTGTTTTAGCTTTTTGCGGGTACAGAATATCATATAATGATCACTTAAACCGCATGCTATAACCCCTTTACTGGAGATCCTGGACTTGTCAGAGGTCAGAATGAGATCAATGGTAGTTTGTGTTGTTTCACATACCCGGGTGGGTTGGATGATTAGCTGGCTGAAGCCGTGCAGATCACAAATCCTACTGAAGGACTTGAAGACGGACGTGTCTTTACGTTGCATATCCGTGTTCCAGTCTCCAATAATAATTGTCTCTACATCCCCCACATCAGCCAAACACCCATCTAATGTATCATAAAAGTCACTCTGTTCCGGTGGTCTATAGATTGTCCCGACTATTACAGATTTAGCATTGTCAAAAAGAATTTCAACCCACACAGATTCAATATTTTCATGATGCAGGTCAGTACGGTTTTTTAAATTGGTGTCTTTATGTATGTACATGCAGACACCACCTCCATTCACGTTCCTGTCCCTTCTCACTACAAGATAATCTTCAATTTCAATCTCTGAATCTGTAATGGAATTGTCCAATTTGGTCTCAGAAAAGCATAATATGCTTGCCTTACCGTTCATGAATAGCTGCCTGAGTTCAGCCAGTTTGTGTCTCAGGCTGTTAGTGTTCAGATGAAAAATATGTAGTCCATTTTTGTTGCTTAAATGCACAATGTCGTCAGCTTGCAGATAGCAGTGTGCACTGAGGAGTCGCAAACAGGCGTTTGTTTAATCATTTTAAGATTGGCTTTAATCAATGTTTGAAAATGAATTCTTCATGTATGATAAATGAGAGTTAACATTTTATTTATGGTATTATTTCCACATATTTCTCTCCATTCTTCCTTCTGCCAACGCGGTGTCGCAGTTTCTCGTCTCTCCCGTTTTGTGTGCTTAGTGCGTACGCATGGGCTAGAGTTTGCGTGGAGGACCGCACATTTTCCCGTCAAGTTAGTATTTTATAAATCGCAAACATTTCTACGCAATGTTGGTGATTTATAAAATCGGACGGTAGATACACGGATTGTCTACCTATGATATATGTATCTTTATTTCTTAATGTCACACTGTAATTCTGCTAGTAATCTCAATAAAAGAAAATGTAACAGTCATCTGTTTACTTGATTTTTTTTGTAATTGAATACAGTTCCTACTCTTTGTATCCTGATTACTTAATCTCGTTACATGTCATTCGTTACTCCCCAAGCCTGCATGTAAATGTCCACTTGAATCATTGCTACAAAACCTGACTGTTGTCTGACTCCCTCTGTCTTCAGGCTGATTCAAGTAGCATCCTGGAACCAGGAACCCCTTTCTCTGTGCCCTTCTCAGTGATGAGCCACGAAATAGAGGGAAACATTTCCATCCGAGCCACTAACAACCAAGGTTTTGACTTAGCGTCTCCAACCAGTTTGTTCCTGGAAGCTGGAAACAGAGCCAACGACACGGTGACCCTCTCCGCTCCTCTGAACACCCCCTCTGGGACCGACGTCACCCTGACCATCGAGGCCGAGGCTCCGGGGGGCCAAGACACAAACTATGTCGTGATGCGTTTCTCTGTCTTTAACACGGTAAAACTCCCACTGAAGAGTCACTTTTGGTCTGTGATTATCGGGAGAGAACTTCCATAGGCTATGTGTTACTTATTACTGGAAAAACATGAATTTCTTGAAATATTTTAAACCTGTGTCAATATTAATTTATTATTTGAGCTTTTTCCTTTGCTGAATGCCTGTAGGCATATTTAAATGTTTGTATGTTCAGCTGACCTGATCTTCATTTACTAAGGTAGGATAGGATTTCATGTCAAATGTCATGTTATACTGTCTATGCCATACAAATGTCATCCATAGTCATTGTATGGAAGCCTATGGCACAAAAATCATTGATCACTTCAACCATTTGTTGAATAATAATCAGCTGACCTGCTAAATACTTGCGTTAGGTAGGCTACAGATACAAATGTATACTATAGGCTTGAGAAAATGTACTTACTTATATTCCATTGCTAGAAAACTGAATGAATTACATCGTTACCTTCTTCCTCCTCTTGATGAACTCGCTAATGTAAAACTCACTTAATCAATCATTTTCTTCCAATAGGTGACTGATTTCGCTCCGCCGGTGTGTAAGCTGCTGAGCCTGCAGTCCACCTGCTCTGATTCCTGCAGCTCGTCGATGTGGGAGCTCTCTGTCCAGGTGACTGATGGGGAAGGAGGCTCAGGTGTTGACAGTGTTACTTTCAGACAGGGCAACGGGACTTTGAACACTAGCCTGGCTGCTGGAAATGAAAAAATAACACTGGTTTCCTACAATGCTTATTGTTGTTCGCCTAATGTGGAGCTGGTGGTTGTGGACAGAGTGGGAAATGTCGACATCTGTTTTTACGCTAATTCTCTGTCCACCAAAGTGATTCTGGAGTCTCTTTGTCTAATCGTAGTGGTGTTAGGGCAAATAATGAAAGCTGCAATAATCTAGGTTTCTACTTCTACAAACACTCAATCAATTGACTCTGTATTATCCTGCGGTGTCGTTTATTTTCATCATCAGAGTTTGCAGCAATAAACTGGTTTTGGTTATCACAGTTAAACCCAGTGTTCCCTAAAGTTGCAAACTTACCCAAACCGGATACCAGAAGCTAACTGTTAGCTTAGTGTAGCAACACAAAGTAAGTGATAAAGTGAAATATGTAGCAAATACACTTATATTTAGGAGTTTGTGAAGACCAAAAAAGAGACAAAAGACAAACATGTTTCAGGTGGTTTGATGACCTTGTTTCAGATTGATGTGTTAAAGGCTAGGTAAGGGATAATGTGCAGCGACGCGGTCATTATGGGGAAAAGAACACCGACAGGCTGATCAGGAGCCCGACGCGAAGCGGAGGGATCTAGATCGGCATGAAGGGATAATGACCACGTCGCTGCACATTATCCCGCTTATTACATGGCCACATTCTCAACAAAGTAACGATATGACTCCCAATATTAATTGAAATGCTTTTGTGGATTTAGAAAATGATTTTATTGATTTAAAAAATAGTTGTATGTATTGATTTAAATTGACATGCATCCGCTAAGAAAAATAGTCCGTTGTTACTGTTTGAACTAACGTAGCAACGGCAGCCAGGAACTGCTTCGATAGCGTTTTTGAGGAGCTTTTTTATTACAGATTTGAAAACATCGTTGCTTGCTTTAAAAGTAGCACAATTCATTATGTCAAACCTTGGGAAGTAGGAGATATCCCTGCCCTAATGCCAAAGTAACTGGCAACTGAATATGTGTCGCCGTCTGATGTCTATGTCTGGACCGCTGCGTAAAAAGGAGGGTTTCTGCCCGTTACTTCTCCGCTGTTTTCTTGTCGCTCTTGTCTTGTCAGTTAGAAAAGCAAACTGCATGCAGTTTGCTTTTCGGCCAAACTGTATATATGGTTGCTGAGGCTTATGACTGCTGTTGTAAATCCTGGTGCCTGTTTTCTGCCTTCTGTACAGTGAATAAATGTCTTTCTGTTTATGACCCAATCATAACACTACAACTGAAGAGAGAGGCTCACTGGAAAAAATGCAGACTGTCATATAAAGATGGACTGGAAAGTGTCCCCACCTCTGAAAGGCAGGTCATTTCTTATCAAGATTGTTTGATTGAAAATGTTGTAACAACAAACTGAAGAGGCAGAAATATTTAAAAAACACTGATTTTTATTGTTGTCATAATGTGTCTATTGTATAATGCTTTACAGAACACACAACATTTGGCTTTTCACAATTTGCTACAAGTTCAACATTTTTTCTCCTGTTTCCTTTTATCACTATTTACATTTTTGAAGAGTTTTCAAAGAGTCTAAATAAACTAGTCGGTGATTGTCTCTTACTGAAGTATTTCGATTTGTTTAGCGTGATGTTAGTTTGTCAATGCAACTTACCAAAAGCCAAACCATTCCAAGCAGGAAGTCTTTTTGGTGCATTTGATTTTTACGGTGTGACAGTATCGTTTAAAAGTGTTCACAATGCTGACTTCATTCAGACCTTCAACCCAACGTGCACACGTCCCTCTAACCTGCTGCTCCCTCACTCCACTTTTGTACTCTTCTCATTCTTGACTTATATATTAAAAATACTTTTGCCATAGCAGTAAAGGTATATTGTGTTTGAGCTGGAATGAGGATTATGTAGAAAAACTGCCAAACAATTACACATTATGGATGTTATTTGTTCAAATTAGTTTGACTGTCTATTTGCATGGACATTGTCCACATTCATATTTTTACAAAATGGTACCTTTTTTAAAGGAGCTACACTGTTGGAGTATTTAGGAGACTGGTTCCTTGAAAAAAAAACAAGGGAAATGTATTTCTATAATAGTTGTATAGATACATATTTTGAGATGTAGACCAGTTCTTCAGACGCATGTTTCGCGTCAGTCAGTGCCATTAGTGAACTGGGAAAGCTTATTCTCCAAGTCAGAGATTCTCTTCTCCTGAGACAAAACTGTGGCCTTCAGATTCTGCAGCTCCTCCAACAACCTCCCAAGTAACTCAGGCTGGACGGCCGGAGAAAGAAGAGAAGAAAAAAGGGAAGAAGGAAGGAATAAAGACAGTGACGGGGAGTGGAGAATTTGGGACAAAGAAAAAGAGAGAAAAAATAGGTCAAGGACAGTGAGCAACTAGGAGAAATAAACCAAAACAAAGAAGGGAGCTTTAGGGGAAAAAGTTGTGGGCAGGTATGAATAGAGGAGAGATAAACAGAAAACATGTTAAACAGGGAGGCAGATGTTCAGGAGGAATGGTGCATTCAGGTAACGGTTGCAAAGCTAGAGTGAATCGCAAAACTGTGCAACATAAAGCTACAGATCAAAAGCAGTAAAGCTTAGGTGGCAACTTAAATGAACACAGATTAGAATACACAAGTAATGTACACATTTATATATATGCAGTGTATATATATTTGATCGCCTTGGTGTCACTCCAAATTTGTCAAAAAATATAATGGGAAAAGTATTTTTATAGTATGTTGAAAAATATAAAAAAAAGTCAAAGCACAGTATATCTGAAAAATAAGTCATAGTATAGTATGTCGAAAAATATGAAACAAAAATCATAATAGTATTTCAGAAAATAAGTCATACAGCATGTCAACAATAACATGAAAAACGTCGCATTAAAATCCCAAATTGGCCCTTCTATGCAACAATACATTAATTGAATATTCTATATACATACACAGGTTATTCTCTATGTGGTACTTCTCGAATGCCACAACTTACCGGAAGATTGTTGGTGTCCAAAGTGGACACGCTGCGTCGGGTGGTTGGTCTGGAGTCCAGCACGTTCTTCTTTGACACTTTGAACTCCCGGCTCTTGTGCGCCACATACCCGCCCCTCAGGGACACCAGGATGGGGTCTTCGTCGTGGCCATTCAGCCACTCCTCAGGCTCCATGGCGGGCTCGGGCCCCGCTGTGTCCGGGTACAGGTCGTCCTGGAAGAGGTCCGACTGGAAGAGAGGTGCAGAGGTGAATAAATAAAAGACAGATGGCTATGTGGCTGTTTTTGTTTTTTTAAATGTACAGTATATACAGTAGTTGCTTTTGCAGGGTTAATAAAAAGGATTTATCTATTTGTGTACTTAAAGGATGAGTTGAAAGGACATGAAAGCAGAGCAGAGAGGGAAAGACTACCGATTAAAACAAAAAATAAATAAAACTTCATGATCAGGTTTTGAATTATTTAAAAGGACAGTGTAGAAATACCACACTATTAAAGATGCTCTACCACAAGTGAAAAGCCTATATTATTTTGTAAAAGTATAGAAAGGATGACAAATCGTAAAAGAGTGAAAGAACAATATTCCTTTCTGAAAATGAAGTGGAATGGCAATAAAGTAAAAGTACCTTAAAAAGTTGTACTTAATTGTATGTAGGCCTACTAGGTTCCTGCAGCACTGATAAAAGTCAGAAACGTGTAGAGAATGATCAGGCTTACTTTTCTGGGCACTGTCATTGTGATGGGCTCACACTTCTTGTCCAGGAGCTTGAATAACCTAAGAGGACAAGTGAAGAGAGAAAAGAGCAGCCATTGTCACACATGATTTTAATTTTAAATGTGAAACGTTTAAGATGGTGTCATGCACTGTGAGAACATGGTCTCGGTTCAGTGATGATGAGAGTGTAAGGCACTTGATAGTCAAACGCTCTAACTCATCATACACACTGCAATAATGTAAACATTTACTGTTAAGAGGAAAGATAGTGAGCACTTTAAGCTTCACCTCTCTCATGCAACATCTGTATTGTAGTGAACCATCAGTGTCTTACCTAGCGATCTCACATTTGGTGACGTCCACCCCTCTCTTGGGCATGAAGCCCATCCCTCTCTGGGGCTCCTTACTGCTGAAGGTGCTGAGGTAGTGAACAAATGGCGGCTCATCTGTGATCTCAAAGTAACGGATACTGCTGTCCCCCTACACACAAACACAGAAAACACACCTAGTCAAAACTGCAAGTACAATCAATCTGCATTTATGAAGCATTTATGGACAAGTAAATCAAATGTGTCTGTACCTTTCCACAGAGGTAGACCATGCTCGCATCTGCATCATAATACGGTAACAACACTCCATTACTTGTGTCCAACTCCAACAGTGCGATTGGCTCCTCAAAATGTGTCTGTGGAGAGCAAAAACAATGAAGAAAAAGTGCTGTGTACATGCATGTAAGTGATTGTAAATGTCTTCTCCTTATGATATAGATGAGCTTATGTTAGATGTATTTGTTTGTTACCGGGTCCCAGAGTCCCAGCTCTCTCTGGCTCATCCTGGTGAACCCTGTGGTGAAGATGTTTCCGTCTTTGGTGAAGATGGCTCTCATTGGCCGGATCCCCTCATGTGGAGCCAGACGTTCCTGTTGGTCGGCACAGGGTCAGACGTCACTACAAGTGAAACTATGAGCAACTTTTTTTCGGATTTTTAGGGATTCATTTAAACTCAGCCGACAGCATTGATGTAGGTGTTTAGAATCAAGGGTAAAGTAAGTTTCAATGTTGTTGAATGGTTTTGTGTCTCACTGTGTCTGGAGGTCCTGACGATATATTCAATTAAACTTTAAATTAAAGAATCGAGACAAGAGATGTAGTGTATTTTACAAAAACTTAATGTTACTACGAAAAACTTACTGCAAGCCTCTTGACTTGCACAATTATTATATTTATGTGTTATTTATGCCTCAATTTAAACAAGATAAAAAAGTAGTCTCTTGCCATTGATTACAGTAAATATTTGTTCTCAAGGCCTTTATTTGCCTCATCAATTCTCTACAGAAAGCCAATGTTAGTGTATTTCCCCAAATGTCATTATCTGTTATCTTAATTGTTCCTTTACTTTGTCAGTAAATATACATATTAAATACAATATACTCATATTTCTTAAGAACTCTGATAGTGGTGTTAGAATTAACTATATTGTGAAGCGTGTATATATCAATATTTTCTGCTCACGCACCGCAACCACGTCCCTCTTGCGGGGGTCGCAGACACGCAGACGCCGGTCCTTACAGGTGGTGCAAAACAAGCTGCCGTTTCGGTTCCAGCTGATGCTGTAGATGAGGTCTGGGTGGTCGTCCATGGTGATGAGGGGCTCCCCCGTCCCCACGTTCCAGATTATAACCAGGTTATCACTGCCTGGGGTTACACGAAAAGATCTGAATGTATTCACACACTTTTACATAAGACAAAAGACTTGGAAGACAACAATGTGTGTGTGTCCTACCCGCAGTGAGAAGTATGTTGCGTGCAGTGGGGTGCCAGGTGATGATGCCCACTCGTTTGGAGTGACCCTCCAGCACCACCACGGGGTCGGAGAGGGGGCGGGTCAGCGAGTGATCTGGGATCTGCCACACCTGGAGAGGAGGGACGAAGAAAAATCTGATTCTGTGTCCATAACATGCACTTTCTGTCCATTGTAAAATTATGGTAAACTGGTAGCTTACTTTTATTATTCATCCAATTTTAAAACGTATATGCTATGACTTTTTTCAACAAACTATACTCTTTTCGGCAGACTAAACTATGACACTTTTCTTTTTTCCAACATAGTATACTCAAACGTACTATACTTGTCCTTTGGCCTTTTTTCCAACATATATACTATGTTATTTTCGACTTTTGTTGAAATTGAAATGTAAACTTCAGGTTAAAATGATACTGTGTAATGTATATGTAATTGTATAACACAAACAACACAACTGACCTAGGAAACTCTTTCCTCATTAATGTCAGTACAGTTTGTTGAAATGTTGCCTCTTTAATTAGCCATACAGTAGATCATTGATTGATCCCTATATGCTAACACATACACAATTGCACACGCACTGAACTCTTATGAGCCTTTGCAGATGACACAATGATCCGTATCAGTGAACTGAGGAGAATGACATCACCGTTATGACCTTTCTGCTCCACAGTGGCAACGCTACCAAAACTGGACAGCTGCAACTGTCTGTCTGTGTGCTGGACATAAACAAAGCAAGCACACACAGAACCCTAACAGCATCCAAGCAGCTGTTGCCTTAGGAGGAGAAGCGATTCAATCATGCATTGCACAAAGATTCCTGCGATGTCGTTGAACAAATGTGGGCAAATCTGTCCACAGTGACAACTGTGCTGAGTCAACAGACATGTCATTATGCATTTTTTATAATTGACACACGCTGAAAACTCTTTTTGACAAGGAATTTCTAAAGCGAAAATGCATAATGTCAGCTTGTTCTCGGTCGCCAATGCAAGGATTTTGTGTTTAACATCATAGCGTACTGAAAAAAACTGATTTTGCAGGATTTTACAATCAGCTAAAGTGTCTCTCTACAAGTTATTTGCATGAATAAAAATGCAGAGTTAAAATATTTCATCTTAAAATATTTCATCTTTCTCTATCACCTCCTGTAATCCAGGCCTCACAGTGACCCCTGCTGACAGATCTATGTGATGAGATTCAGAGCTACAGAGTTCTGCAGTTTATTTCAACCAGGTTTAAAAAAACTGCTAGAGCTTCAGTTGGCTGCTGCCTTTAGTCCAAAACTTTACATTTTCTATGTTTAGGATTCAAGTGTGTGTGTGTGTGTGTGTGTGTGTGTGTGTGTGTGTGTGTGTGTGTGTGTGTGTGTGTGTGTGTGTGTGTGTGTGTGTGTGTGTGTGTGTGTCTGTGTGTGTGTGTGTGTGTGTGTGTGTGTGTGTGTGTGTGTGTGTGTGTGTGTGTGTGTGTGTGTGTGTGTGTGTGTGTGTTTACATGACCATCATCAAATCACTTAACCTATGCACAGGAAAATATCATTGAACAGAGAGTTTCAGGAGGATTTATAATGTAAAAAAAGTCCTGCCATGTCAAACACCTACACAGAAATACAAAAAAACATGGACAGGTTTGGGCAGCAGGTGAAGCAGCAGTGCTGTACCGAGAAAAGTTTGTTGCAGACCAACTTGTCATGAAATAAAAATATATGACAAGCAGACTTATGAAGAGGTGAGACGGAACAGGTGGGTGGACAGACAGACAGACAGACAGACAGACAGACAGACAGACAGACAGACAGACAGACAGACAGACAGACAGACAGACAGACAGACAGACAGACAGACAGACAGACAGACAGACAGACAGACAGACAGACAGACAGACAGACAGACAGACAGACAGACAGACAGACAGACAGACAGACAGACAGACAGACAGACAGACAGACAGACAGACAGACAGACAGACAGACAGGTAGACAGATAGGTAGACACACTGATGACTCACTTCAATAATTTAACAAGCAGACTGAGATGACCTCCATGGCAGCTATCTGAGTCACCGAACAACAAACTCCTCCACATGCATTTGCAGATTCTCGCTCCCACTTAGAACTTTTTTCTTCACACACACAAGCACACACACACAGACACACTGATATTACCATAGCAGTAGTGTCCTCTGAGCAGCTAGCCAGGATATTGTCGTCATGAGGGCACCAGTCGATATCGAGGACGGGTCCAGAGTGGCCGTTCACCAGCGGGTAGTTCTTATCCACTCGACCCGACTGCAACACACAGCAGCAGAGACACAGGACTGAGTTAGGACTAGATGTAAATATTACTTACCAGCATCCTTTTGTCAAAGCTAAAGGGGAAACAGTGAAAAGCCGTTGATTTGGTGAGTTGCAGGTCAAGAAACATCAAAACATGTAGGTTAAAAGCTAAAAGAGAAGGTTTTTTTTACATGTAAAGTTATATGTAAGAGTATTTCGGTAACTATTTCCTGGATGTTATTGCATCATGGATGTTTGAATATCCTTGTTTTATGTTCGATTTTTACGTGTTTATCCAAATGGACCTTACAGTGGTTTAGTACTATACCTATGATCAAATATTTATTTTTTCAATTTCAAATTTTTTAAGCCAACATGAAAAAAAAGTCCTTAAAATGCTCAGGAAAAATGACCATTTGAGCAGCAAACACCTTAATAACTACATCTGCTGATTGAAATCATATGATATAAGAAAACTGGTCCTTGTAATGAGTTTTTCGTGCATGCTATACATTCTGTTAAGTCTACAAAGGATTTATCCTCTTAGTGGGTCATGGGGCAAATATTTTCTGTTGGGCTCTTTTGACCCACACTTTCTTGCCCTCACTGTCTATACATGGAAGGTTTGTTCATAGGAAATATGCATCGTGTCAGGACGGTATAACTTTAAGGGATGAAAACAACATTCAGGCACAGAGACTGTTGCTGTTGACCGGCAGCTGATTGACCCACAAATCTTAAGATCTGTCAATGGCCACTCTCTCCTGAAACCACAAAACACTTGACGCATTATGGTGGACTTCAAGGGAATACATTTTTTTTCTTTCAATATGGTGAATACTAAAAAACTAAACAAAAAAAACATGTCAGGTCCAAGTTATTCCATGTTTCCCTGTTCCTATAGTGTGAACATGTGTTTCAACTTTTGAGATATAATTCCCTCCGCACACATACAACACACCCCAGGAGAGTTTATTTATAGCTGAGCGACGGGGCACTGAAAGGGGAGTTTTTCTTCTGGCCTGTTGGGGACTTGAAGGGGGGGGGGTAGATGGAGGGCGAGAGCACATTGGTGTGTATTAATAGCATGTCTGTTCACCATGACTCCAGTTTATAATCACATCCAAACCATCTCCAAAAAGCTCATTGTGACTAATTATCACTGCTGACATGCTGATGACACTCAGCAGTGATGTCCTTGTTATAGCCATGAACATTCTAATGATTAATCTCAAAAAGGGAACAAGATTCTGGTCATTCCTACCTCTAGTCTAAATATAACTCTACCATAACTCTTGTGGACTTTAAAATATGAACATTCTTCCCATATTATATGTTATTACGTAAACAGCAGTATTCTTCCGACTAGAGTCAATTAACTTTTTACTTCTCATAATGCTGGACTGTGATTGGCTGGTGGTGTTACTGTGGCAGCCTGAGGCCTGCTGTGTGCAGGCTACTCACTGGGCAACTCAATTGCTACAAACTTGTCTGATTATAGCAGCGTGACAGCGTCAGAGGTTATTTGGAGAGCTACACCATGAGCTGTGATCTGCAGCTAACTGGACGGAGTGTGAAGCTGCTACCCAAAAAGAAGCAGGGTTTATAAACACTTAACAAATCTTACTGAAATCTTATCACATCAACTTAACCCATAGAACTATAAATCAGAAGAAGGAGGTGGAGCTTTCGTCTCACAATCAGAAAACTAAATAGGTAAATCATCAATTTCAGAACAAAAGTGTAAGGCTGAGAGGATGAGGGATTAAATCAACTTCAGCAGTTAAGTATTGATTTTTAGCAATTTTAGCTTTGCCTAAATGCATCAAACGTGACCTACAACACTGGAAATCTATTTTACTTAGATAGGGTCACTGGAGCTGCATATCTAACCTGGTAATAGATTGAAATATTATCTCCCTTAACCATAAAATATTGAGACAAATGAATTGTTTTCTTTAGGATCTCCATGGTTTGTTTTAAGGCGATTTATATCATGACGAGTCTCCGAGCCACAATGAAGCATCACATCTTTAAATATCGGATCTGTTGCTTTTCCTTTTAAAAAGAATGTCCTTTTCGAGTCAACATTACAGCTAGAAACTAATATTTTAGTCTCTGCCAAAAAAGGAAAACAAAATCAAGTTAAAAAAAAGGATTACATTGAATTAACCAAAGCACCTTTTTTCTCTCTTCCAAGACGTTGTATAAGGATGACACAGCCTTTTCTTTGTACCTGGGTCTGCATGAAAAAATGTGACCTCAGTGCAGAGCTGTCTGCCAAAGCATTGGGAGTCCTTCTCTTCACCCTCCTCATTACAGCTGATTATGTCATGCAACATCGATCCTCTCGTATCTACTTATAGCGAAACATCAGAGAACGTTTGGTTACTGAGACGAGCCTTCAAACACCACTGGAGCTTAGTCTAGGAATCTGATGCAAGATCTGGCAGCATAGTGAAATGACTGTGAGGTGTTTGCAGTTTAGAAGATACACTGTACTGTAAAATGTCAAGCATGTATCATTTATTTTAATATCTATCACACAAAAGTACAACGATCTGAAGTGGCTGCACAGATTCCAGTTGTCCTCTTTGCTTTACCTTGCTTGAGCTTTGGAAACTAAGCAATAAAGCTAGCAAGTTATATACTGTGTTATACAAGAGAAAAGCAAACTATGTTTACTTTTCTTTATCTTTCCCTGTATAGTTCTCCCTCTCTTATGTTATGTCCTTGTTAACCCTGCCTCTTGCATAACAGCTGAGATTGGCAAAGATGAGCACTAAAGATGGACTACATTTTATTTCAACATACAGTCAAATACATAGAAAACACACTTTTTTCAAACCAATATATGAGGAAAGAATGCACAATTATGATCTTAATTTCTTATTGTTGATCTCCTTTTGTTCATGTGCCTGCAGTGGAGTCAACAGATGTATTAGTGACTGAGTATTTAGCCACAGTGATGTTCTGAGCTAAATACTAACATCAGCATGCTAACATTCTCACAATGGTAATGCTAACATGCCAATGTTTAGCAGGTTTGATGTTAACCATGTTTAACATCTTATCTAATGAGCACCAAGCTAACAAGTGCATATATAACTGATGGATTGTCATTAGTTTAGCAGGTATTTGCTTCATCAACCACAACACTGAAAACAACCACTTTGAAGTGACGGGATGTTAGTTCTAGAGGGAAAGTTAGAGGATTAGGTTTATAGGATGTATCCTATGGAGACCATGAATAGCTATATGAAATGTTTATGTCAATACATCCATTATTAAGTAAGATGTTTGAGTGATCCACTGACAGTCTAACAGACCCACATGCCATCTATAGAGACAGTAGGACAGAAATATATTATATTCCTCAAAACAATATCTCAATACTAGCAGTTTTGTCTATAATCTTTTCCCTATTCACTCTGCAGCATCACAAGTTTGAAATGTTTTTCTTAATCTATGATGATGAGCCACATTTCATTTTTGGTATACCTTATTGTAGCACCAACATATATAGACATTTTATTTATTGGGATAAACCCCTTGAGATGCACCATCTCGTTTTCAAGGGGGTCCCGACAATAGCAACAACTTACAGACATACATAAACAAAAAGACAAAATGCAAAACATGACACACAAGACAAACCACATACAGTCTGTTAAGTGAAATTCAAGCAATGCACACAATCATTACAATTTGAGACGGTCAAGCAAATCAGTTTCATCAATATCAGTTATAACAAGTACAGACCAGTTGAAAGTGAGATAACAATGCATGTTTAAATATACCCAATGATGCAAGAGATCTAATAGCAGCAGGTAAAGTATTCCAGTCAGTAAAACATCCTTGCCTATTGAGCACATGAAGTAATCCAAACAACAAGTATAAGCAAAGGCATAGGATTGATTTTCAAATGACTGTAAGTGAGCATTTGCAACATTTATCAAAGCATGTACACGTTCAGATTTCAAAGTGACACTGACTGAATCATAGACACTGAAATGATTCCTTCTTTGACCTCACTGACCTTAACGAGGGGCAGCACCAGGAACGCTCCTCCACCGCTCGACTCCACAATGACCGCCAGGAACTTTGGGTTGACGGCGCAGAAGGAGCTGTCCCACGTCACCTTTGAAACACGGATGTCATCGTAACCCTGCTCAGCTTTGACCGTCTGGCCAAAGACGTGGCGAAACTTACTCTGCCGCACGATGCTGCGACTCATGGCTGTGGCGAGTGGAGGAGAGGAGGAGGAAGTGAAGAGGAAGAAACAAGAGAAGGGAGAGGATGAGCGGGTAGGACTTGAAAGTAAGACAAATAAAAAACAATGGCATAGGAGACGGTATAATGTTTAACATTCATAAAAAATGTCAGCAACCAAACTGTTAAACCAAATATAACTAAGACTGCAAATCACCAGTAGAGAATGACATACTATGTATTCATGTTGGGCAAATATGGCTATGAATGTTTGATTTTAAAAGAATCGATCTGTGTTTCGTTGAAAAGAATATCTCAATAGGGGGAAAAAAACTTCAGAAAAAGCATTTCATCAGATTTACCAAACAAATTCTGCCGAAGACCAAATGAATGGTTAAAGCAGAAGAGCTTGTTGGGACACATGTACACACAACCTGTACTTTTCATGTTTTACGTTCACTTATACAGTATGTAGGATGCCACGTTCTTTGTTATTGAGGCAGGCTGGGGTAAAATGTTTATAAGTGTGTTCTCTCTGAGCAGCAACTCTCACCTGATGCGTTGTTATGAGCAGTTTGGTTTGGTTTTCATTCGTTTTTTAGGGGTGAAGGTTGACTCTGTGGTGCTTTGAAGGCTTTTAATTTGCAAGGGCAGTTCACACTTCTTTGGTATTTATTTCATACATATTGAAATTAATATAAAATAGATACAAGATGATGCTAGTAAGGACTGCATTTCTTGTATAGTTCTTGTTTTCTACTTCACTCGTAATTACATTCACTTCAGAAACATTGTTAAACCAACGGACTAACACAGGATACAATTCATACTGTATAACCATCAATACACTTTAAAGGCTCTTTTAGATCATTAAGTGTGTTACGATGAAGGAAGGGGTCGATATGAACACACTCATATCTGTCAAAGTTGCAATCATTAATTAGAGATACTTATTGTCATTAACTTGACACAGGAATCAGTCTGTAAATGTGATTTCACTTACATCAATGCACCAATAAGGATTGATCAACATTCAATCAGAATCAATGTCCATCAATGGGTTGTTAATGTAATTGTCAGTCAGATAAAAGTCACACACACATAGCCCTGGTAAACTGAGATTTGAAATGCTAAACTCACAATAAATAATACTTAAAGATGTTGTTTACCCTTGATGTTGCTTATTTAGCCTTGACTATTTGATGCTGTAAGGATACTTTGAATTGAAGCCAATGTTTCAGGTGATTTAAATAACCCCCTGCATTTCTCTGAATAATGAACTTAGCAATGTGTTTGTTGACTGACTACTTGCTGTCCTGCGGCTGTCCAGGGACCGGCCAGAGAAACAGTAATCCTCACAGAAAAAACAGGGGGGATATTCTATAACAGTGCCTGCCACCACAGCAGATATTTATAGATGATTGTCCCACTGAACACTATGTGATGGCCAAACAAGAGAGAGCAGTGAGACACAGAGCAGGTGAAGAGGGAGAGAACTTAATATATGGCAAGGCAGCAGTTACATTCAATAACACACATTTGATACATTCCCAGGGAGAATATTAAAAGATTTGACTTACACTCCCGCTCTGCCTAACATAAGGTCAAAAATAAAGAAAATCTAACTTCATGTTGGTCAGGGGATGATCAAAATCTTTAATCTTTATCCCTCTTTTAACAATCACAAGGAATAACCACTGAGCACATTTGTCAACTTTCAAATGTGACAAAGTAAACATAAAGGGATCCAAATATGATGATATCAGACTTTCACAATGGAATATACAATATGTAGCCTCAATCTAAACCCAAAGACTGTGGGATACATGACTCAACCAGTCTGATGAGAGGTCAGAAGCTCTCGTTTCTTTCCTGGAAGCTCTCTGTTATCGAGATATTTACATTCCAGAGACCACTTCAGTCCCCTGCTGTGCGGGGATTATCAGGGAGAGCACAATATCATTCATATATGTCCGATACTTGTATCAACAGTATGTTAATCCTGTGCTTTCTCCCCCACATACATGAGATGCTCTTAATGCTCTTAATCAAAACTATACTTCTCTTACGAACCAAATGTATTTTGAACATAACAAAGGATTGCCTATTTGCCTTGACATCTGATTCAAACATTTAAATGGCTTTGTTGTGGTCTAGTTAGAAAACATCCTTTAAAAGTCAAGATCTTACATAAAACATTTGATAAAATATATCCCTGAAGCTTCCACTGGTATTGGATAAGGGTAAATTGTTAATCGGTTAACAATCTAAGATATGTAGGCTTATACTTTGGGAAATCTGTAACATAATAATTATTTCTGTATTTGTATATACACAGACATTGGCAGTTGAAAGCCAGAACGAATTCAAAGTAAAAGTTTGAACATTGTGCAAGAGATATAGAAGCTAAAATAGACTTATAAATTCACCCCCGAGTGGAGATAGTCGCACTTAAATAAAAATATATAAACAAAGATACGTGATGGAAGTTAAAGTCAATGAAATCTTGAAAACCTCAGACCTGCACCTTTAATTCTGCCTCAGGTTAATGAGATAGCCCTCCATGGCTCTGGAGAGTCGACACAGAGCGAAAGAATGACACTGCCACTTTCCTAATATAGACATGACAAACTGCACTGTCCCACCCGGGCCGCTCCTCCCCCCCCCCCCCCCCCCCACAGCCTCTCCTAAATAGTCCCAGAATGAAGACTCTCTGTGTGTCACTTTATCGTTAATAAACCGGATCGTAAATATAAACTACACAAACACACATAAACACAGGAACATAGGCTGGCAGGTGCGTGGGAGGTGTGAGGGGGGAGGTTAATGTGCAACGTGCTTCTTAAAGTGCAGCTGCCATGCACGACTCAAGATCTGCTCCTTCACAGGGAAAGTGCATTATCACCATGCCCGACTCTGTATTTTTATGTTTTTTTTGGTGGGGTGGCACTCAGTCCTCCTCAGCAGTGCAGTGGAGAAGCTGACGCACCTCTCCTCCCCCCCACTGCAGCACCGACACTCATATTAGGAAAGAAAGCCCACACATCTCACCTCAGGTTTTTGGGGAGACCCCTTGTCCCTGGTTCCCGGTTTCGGTTGTGTGGTCTCACTCCTGCTGCTCCACTGCTGGTATTCCTTTGAATGATAGTCCCTGCGAACCGGTGGAGTTTCTGAGGAGACGCACTGGACAACTACGTGACGCTCCTCGACAGGAAAGAAACGGTACCGGGGAAGAGCAGGGGGAGAGGAGGGTGTGTGAGGGAGAGAGGGGTGGGTGTGGGGTGGGTGGTTGCCGCTGTCTATTTTGGAACAGGCTCTGTCAGTGCGGGAAACGTGACTCGCGCCGGTTACAGGGGCCCAGGCCCGGGGGTCAGTGTCACAACTGTGGAGGTCTCTAATAGTGACTTAAAGGACAGTGGGACATTAACCCTGATATTGTCACTAACCAAATTAATCGAATACAGTTTGTTTGCAAGATGTCATGAGTTCAGATGTTCATGTTTGTCACCAGAGGTGGAAGAAGTACTCAGGTGTTGTTGTTGTTGTTGTTGTTGTAAAAGTAGAAGTAGGCTACCAGAGTGTAGGAATACTCTGTTATAAGTAAAAGTCCTGCATTCAAAATGATACTTAAGTAAAAGTACAAAAGTATTAGCAGCAAAGTACTCATTATGCAGAATGGCCCATTTCTGAATTATATATATATATTATATATTTTAATCATAATGTTTGATGCATTGAAGTTTTTATCTAAGGCGCAGTACATTTTGATTTCTTTGTATACCAGGTTAGCTTGTGAATTTACTGCAGGTTTAGAAAAAAAGCTTTATTTTAGTATTGATTGTATTTCATATCATCAATCCAAATATGCAAAGTAACTAAAGGTATTAAATATATAGTAAAAGCACACTATTGAACTCTGAATTGCAGAGGAGTAAAGGGACAAAGTAAAACGTTGAAATACTCATGTAAAGTACAAGTCCCTCACAATTGTACTTAAGTACAGTACTTGAGTAAATCTACTTAGTTACTTTACACCACTGTTTGTCACATGATCAACTGTACTTTATATGAGTTTTCAGTGATAAGATGTTTCCAAACACTCCATTTATAAAACAATAATCTTGAGGTTTCCATTTTCCCTTTTGTAGCTCATACTGCTGCAGCTACTTGTTTTGAGTACATTTGTATAGTATTTAAATTAACCCCTGACTGGATATTTGTTTCACTAAAACTACATTTGGGTTTGGATTTAAATACATGCAAACGATTTTCCTGCTGGCTTAACCTGCAGTTTTCCCCAATAAAGTTTTAAGGATAACAGTTTCCATTGAAACTACTTCCTATTTTAAAACAAATACTAAACGTAAGTAAAATAGATCATACTCACCTCTTATAATGAAAAACACTCCCGATGCTGTGCAAAACATTGAGAAGTTAACCATAGGCGAAATAAATTAGTGTTAACACATTCACAGTGAATGTGCTCTGACATTGGTCCATAAAGCAGAGCAGAACTGGTCCTAACTACATAAATGTAGAGATGTTCTGCTATAATCCACGTTATAATAGTACATTGAATATCTTCAGCTTTGAACTGTCAGTCAAAACAAATAAGCAAGTTAAAGATGTATCCCAAGGTTTGGAATGTGTATAATTTCTTCGCCGTTTTTGGACATTTCATAGACTTAACAATTCAAATCTAGTCTTTGCTTAATTAAAAAAACACATCTTGTCTTGACTTACATTACTGTAAAAACACTCACACAGCAACATAGACTCAATACGTTCCATTGTTTAATGGTCACAGTTGGAGCACATGATATAAAAGAATATTTACACTGATAGTTTAAAATAAAACAAATGAAAAACTCAGTTTTTGACAATAGACACCCATACCCAACAGCTGCTACTACCTAAGCATGCTCCACAAAAGTAGCAACCATACATTTAAAAAAAGAGCCACATTAAAAAGAAAAAGGGAGTAAAGTGCATGTATGACAGACCTCCCTGTACAGACATTTTGATAGACTGCAGAGAAGCCTCATTTGCCAGTCACAGACACACTCCTAAAATGTGTACAAAGAGATTAATTAAAAACTTAAAAAGTACACACCCACATAGTTAAATTGTGCTGCACAGTCGCACTCACACACAGTCACAAACCAGATATAAAAACATTTACAGTTCCAAAAATGTTCAACACTCACAATATAGACCTTTACATCCCAAAGAGAACATCGCAGAAACCTCACAAATGCACACTCTGCTTTCAGCCCCCTGCCCCTAAACTACCCTTCTCCCACACAGTAACACATACATAACTAGTTTGAGTGGCATCAGAACTGAGAAAGGACGTATGAGAGACGAGAATACTTCACCTCGAGCAGTGAAGTGGAAATTGTTTCTGAGTCGGAAACATTCCAGGAATCCAGAGTCTGACGTTCATTAAGGTGAGATATGGTTCAGACTTACTGAGGTATTCTATAGTCAAAACAAATATATATATATATATATATATATATATATATATATATTAAAAAAAGCATGCCTCTTTTTCTTTGCATTTTGTTTCATAAAAACAACTATGCAGTCATTTTCTGTTGATGTCCCTGTGTCTTTGGGTCGACTTGAGCTCTTTGTGCTTAGATGTGCAGCTGTTAGCACAACCCATGTTAATAATCAGTCCCTAGAGAGCAGAATTGACCTTGCTTGGTATTGTCACTGTTTTTCTGCCAAACTTGAGAAGTGTGTTATAGCCTTAGATTGATGTAGAGTACATTATTTACCGTCAGATTGTACTGGCTGTATCATTTGTTTGGCAGTTACCCAGCACAAATAGCAAAAACTGATGCAGAGAAGCATAAGGAAAGAGGAAAGAAAATAAAACTACATTCCACCTAACACCAGGTCGGACAATCCAAAAAACCAACAGTGATCAGGAACCAGCAATGGTGAAGGGAGTGAATATGTGCAGGCTCAGGTATATAACAATTGAAACAAGATATTTATTTTGATGACTGTTTTAGAAAGTGTTTACACATCACAGCGCTTCTCCCAATTTGACTCAAGTTTTATTACCAATTGACCGGACCCTTCATAGCCTTGTCACTGTTCTTGCACTGAGAAAAGTCTCATATGTCAGATAGCACAGAGGCCCTCAGCAGATCTGCAGAGAAAAATGTACAGACAAATGTGATCATATCCTTTAAGGCAAGAGGCATTGGTTTGTTTTACTGAATAAATCCAACATTTATGCACTTGATTTCTATTTCTCACAGGTGTGCATAATCCCTCTCGCTCTCGCACACACAAACACACACACATACAAACACACCTACACATAGAGACGACACAGTGAGGGTTAAATGGTATGGTAAACAGTACTAGTTCTTTTCTTGAGCTGATTCAGGGGGTGAGTCCTTCCATACTGCTGCCTTGTTGCCATGAGTGACAGCCCATGTGAGTCGGGAGAGACTTGGTCAGCGTTAGGCAGTTCTCCTTTCTGCGGACTGGATTGTGGAGAGACTCCTGGTGAGGTTTCTCCAGCTTCAGCAAGCCTCTCCTCTCCAGTCTCAATGTCTTCCGTCTGCTGTTCGGCTGAGGAAGACGAGTTGTGGACGCGCTGCTTCTTGGACTCATCGCTGGTTGTGTGGGTCTCGGGCTCTGCGGAGGACGGGGCTACGGGCGAGCGGCTGATCTCCCACTCACTCAGGTCGTTGGCCAGCAGCTCCAGGCAACCCAGTTTGGCCAGAGAGGCTGAGCGCTTCATCAGGGATGGAGGGGTCAGTCCCGCCTGGCGAATCCTTGCCTCCACCTCTTTGACCCTCTTCTGGTTGCCTACACCTCGTTTCTGGGTGGTTCCGGCGCTGAGGCCGAACACCTGGTCCACGCAGCGGGCCTTGCAGCCTCCCTCCTTGCTCACCTGTTGCAGGAAGGCACCCAGCTCACACAGAGTCTCCCAAGTCTCCCTCATGATAATGTCACAATGAGGTCCTTCTGTAAAACAGTCCCAGTCTGTGGCTGACTCCAACTCTGTCACACCCTCCAAACACAGGAAGTTGACAGAGGCAAAGGGAGAGTGGGCAGAGCGGTGGAAAGAAGAAGAGGTAGAGAGCAATCTTTCAGAAGGATGGAGTTTGTGTCCTTTTGTGCTTACGTCATTATTTCCTAGTGCCCTCTTTTCAACTAAATTACCACTGTCCCTTTTAACTGGTCTAAATGCATCCTCATCTCCTTGCACCCGGCTTGACAGCTGTGAGCCAGCTGATGCATCCTGGGTATTGGACATTGTCACATTATGGACACTGTGTGGACGCTGCTGAGAGCAGGAGGAGCTGCCGGAGAGGGACGGAGGAGATGAGGAGGGCGACGAAGTCTCATGATCCTGTTTCATTCTTTGCTCCAGCTGTCGTGTGACGCGCCGCACGGAGCCCCTCGTCCAATCACTGTACAGACGAGCAGGGGCCGCCTCCTCCTCTTCTTCTTTGTTTTTTACTTCCTCTTTAACATGCTCAGCTTCCTTTTGTGATAAAACATCTTCATCCTTTATTTCCGGCACCGACTTTTTCACATCCTGGTCCTCAGACTCTGAGTGCTCTGCAGGCTTCAGATCTGTGACCTGCACAGGGACGGACATTTCCTACAGAGAAAACATAAATCATAACTCAGTTTAAATGCCAAACAATAGTTTTAATATATCTATAAAGGTGTTCAAATAACATTCAAGTAAAATGGAGAGTAATGTGACAGATATACTGCATGGAACATACCATACATAGGCACCAGGTGGCGCCATGGACTCAAGAATACAAAAGCTAAACAAACATTTCACCACTATGACACTTCCAAATCGGGCATTTCACACAAGCATAGACTTGAAAAAGATCACTACATCTGCACACTTATCTCCAAAAGCAACCAAACTGAGACCTTTGTCAGAGCTTGAGAGTAGCTCTGATGAAAGTCAGTGACCCTAAGCTTAGACATACTGCTATGTTTACAATGGAAATAAGTGCATTGATTTTGATTTATTTTCTACAAACACTCCCCCTTACCTTTCTTTTCTCCTCATCCTTCCCCTCACCAGGCAGTTGTTGTTGTTGTTGTTGTTGTTGTTCTTCCTTTCCACAACTCTTCTGCTGGGGCAACTGCTGCACTGCGGCACACTGAGTTTTATCATCTTGACTCATTCCTTTGAACTTCTCTCTGGCACTGAAAAAGTTAATGTGATCTGCGCTGTGGCCGAACAGCAACTCGCC